CACACACACACACACACACACACATACAGCTAATGAGCTGCAGGGCTGCGGTGGACTCAGAACTGTCTGACCTGAGCTTGTTCTCTTAAGCACCCACCCTCCTGAATTTCATGCCGTGGCTGGGCAGGTCCTCCCACTGTAGTTTCAGCGCTTTCCTATATGCAGAGGTTCCCACAGACTTCACAATTCTATCAGCTTCAGGAGTCTACGTGCCAGTGCCAGGGCCTGTCCTCACCAAGCGTGTACCTCAAAGGCGTAAGGCTTGCCGAAACCGGTTTGGCTCGGTGGATAGAGCGTCGGCCTGCGGACTGAAAGGTCCCCGGTTTGATTTCGGTCAAGGGCATGTGCCTGGGTTGCGGGCACTTCCCCAGTGGGGGATGTGCAGGAGGCAGCTGATCGATGTTTCTCTCTCATCGATGTTTCTAACTTTCTATCTCTCTCCTTTCCTCTCTGTAAAAACTCAATAAAATATATTAAAAAAAAAAAAGGCGTAAGGCTTGGTCCATAAGCTAGAAGTTTAAAATGTCTTTGATGAGGCAAGGGATCTAGAGCAGTGATGGCGAACCTATGACACACGTGTCAGAGGTGACACGCGAACTCATTTTTTTGGTTGATTTTTTTTTGTTAAATGGCATTTAAATATATCAAATAAATATCAAAAATATAAGTCTTTGTTTTACTATGGTTGCAAATATCAAAAAATTTCTATATGTGACACGGCACCAGAGTTAAGTTGGGGTTTTTCAAAATGCTGACAGGCCGAGCTCAAAAGGTTCACCATCACTGATCTAGAGCCTCTGGTACTAGGATGCCCTTGTCTTCCATGGCATCATGGAAAGGGCATGTCTTACAGCTGTGCCTCCTGCCATGTGGATCTCACCTCTGCCACTTGAAAGTGTGTGTCTTTGGTCAAGTTGCTCATCCTTTCTATGCTCCAGGTTCTGCATCTATAACACAGGGATAATACTATCCATTTTACAGGTTGACTCTTGGGGATTAAAGAGAATGTATATAAAGTACTGTCACATAATAAATATTAGCTCTTGTTATAATGACTGAAAGAACAGAGTCCTGAGTCAGACTACCTGGGTTTAGTTCTACCTTGTCTACTTACCAGCTACATGAGCTTGGATTGTTTACGTTTACCATTCTGTGCCTCAGTTTCTTCCTCTGCAAAATGGGCATAATAATACGATTGTTGCAAGGAGTAAATGAATACATACACATGTATCAGAGCAACAGTAAGTATCTTAGTAAATATTGACACATATTAACTGCTCAATATATGCTCATTTACATTACTAATTATTATTATTTCATTATAAGTATCATTTCAGTATTATTATCAGAACCATTCATCATGCATCTGATTTATGGATTCAAAATCACCTCACTGACGCTCCTAGATGACTATATTTCTATTCATGACACTACATACCTGTGTAGGTCACCCAAATTTACAACTTCAGAATCATGTTTAATTCCCCCATCTCCAATCATCCTGTAAGTCCTGTCTGGAATGTTTCTCCATGAAACTCTCTTTTCCTGGACCCCTGGTGTTATGTCTCAGCAGGCAATGCTGCAGGATGTGAATGAGAATAGCAGCTCCTCTCCTGGGAGCCATTTCTGATGTGGGAAGAAGACGTGGTGACAGTGGGCACATGTTAATTCCACATCCATTCCCCCTGCTTGGTTATTTCTGACCAAACCATCCCAATAATCATGCCTTCCACTCAGTTTTGTCTACTCTCTTGCTGATAAACAATCAATGGCTCCCCAGGCCTTTTCTTTTTAGACTAGAAGCCCGTTGCACGAAGATTCGCGCAATAGGCCTTCTTTCCCCTGGCTGCCGGCACCGGTTTTCCTCCGGCACCCGGGAGCCAGGCCTTTGGTCCGGCCGCAGCGGAGAAGCCAAGCCTCTTCAGTCTTCAGTCTTTACTCCAGCCGGAGCCTTCAGTCTTCGCTCTGTGCCTGTGTATGCAAATCAACAATCATCTTTGTTGGGTTAATTTGCACAGTCTCTCTGATTGGTTGGTGGGCATAGTGGAGTGACACTAATTTGCATGTTTCTCTTTTATTAGTGTAGATACAGATTCTAGAGGCTGAGATTCAAGAATGTCCACAGTCTGGCCCAAGCCTACTTACTACAGGAGTCACTGTGGTTGGCTCCCTCCCTTGCATTTTGCTCAGGCAGTTACTTTGTACCATTCATGGCAGTTCCACTGTCATCGATTGGGTCAGGAATGGGCAGTTCTAAGCCATTTAGTATCCATGGGATCTGCGTAGCGGTTTGCTCAGGACGGGTAAGAAAGCAAAGCTATATTTTTTCCATGCCCTGGGTGCAGTTAGCCATTCCATAACCACGTGGATGGCCAGCACGAGGGTGGTGTGAACAGGGAGCAGAGGAAATCCAAGAGAGGAACTTGACCAAGTTGCTCCTGGAGTTCCCCTGCCTCGGGACCTCCAGTGCATGATACACTTATTTTCATTGCCTAAGCCAGTCTGAAACATACTTTCATTACTTGCAGCTCAAGAGCCCTGATACACCCTCCTTTCCAGCTTGATCTCTGGCCACACAGAAACACGTGCCTGTTCTGAAACTTCCCCACAGGTTCCTACCCCAGTGCCTTTGCTCCTCCGTGTCTTCGGCTGGAATGCTCACTCCCAGACCCTACTGGTTTAAGTCCTTTGCACACTTCAAAGCCCAGATCTGAAAGCACCAGCTCATCCTCTCATTCCGAAGGGCGCTCTTCCTTCCAGGGTCTCCAAGGTGCTCCGTATCTCTCTGCCTGACAGCCCCAGAACAGTCAGCTTCCCAGTGTACTCATTTGCCTCTTCCGCTGGATTGCATATTCCACAGAGGCTGTCTTTCCTCTTATCATCTCTGAATCCCTTCGTCTGAAACAGGTGTCTTGGCAGACATTTGTTGCATTCAGATGTGGAATTCAATACAAATGACCACTAAATCTCAAACGATGGTACAACAATAATCATTGTTCTGTAAGAAAGGGTTATGATCTCTATGGGCTAAGAGGCGAGGAAAGGGTCCTTAGGTCTTGTGATGTGCCCCGGTGGATGGGTAGAATTTGGATAGGTGGGGGTGGAGGGGATTCTTCCATGGAGAGGGCCAACCAGGTGCCAGGCATCCGTTTCTCAGCTACTCTAGCCACTGCAGTGTTGTAACTGTTGGGAAATGTGGTCTCAGTAATTAAATTCTGGTAGGCGGAAGAGGAGGAAGGTAGGTTTTGATGTCTTCATTTTTTTTCTGTGGTTATAAATTAATAAAACAGAAGTGGCAGTTGGGGATGGAGTAGGAGTTTCTAGAGACTGTTCTCTACAAGCCCAACCACGCATGGGCTGGGGAGGGGAGGAGGGGCAGGGAGGGGTGTCTTACTTATCACCACTCTTCTTACAGGTACCGAGTCACTCCCTGTTTCAGTGGGCTTACATATTCCAGGTTGTTATATGGGGGGTTGTCCGTGTAGGTACTGTCACAGACACATTGGTATGTCTTCACCAACCATCTCATTTTCTCCACAGACACCCAACAAGACCGACTGCACTTCTTGCACCCCTTGCATCCAGGTGCTGCCATGTGACCAGCTCTTGTCTGCAGAATGTGAGTGGCAGTGGGGCATGCTACCTCCATCCCTGGCCTTGGAATGGCCTGTGCCATTTCCCCTGATCTCTCTTCTGACTTGCTGTCTGGCTAGATGCAGAGGTCCAGGGAAGAACCTGATGGGGCCTTGGGGCTTGGCAAAGCCACTGGATGGAAGAAACCTGCATCCTCGAGTCATGGCTTGGAAGGAGAACTGCCCAGGAATGCTGCTTGGCCAGGAACATCTGCATTGAAACTGAAAGAAAGAAAGAATGAGAGAAAGAAAGAAAGAAAGAAAGGAAGGAAGGAAGGAAGGAAGGAAGGGAGAAAGGAAGTAAGGAAAGAAGAAAGAAAGAAGGTAAGTAAG